AAGAGTGCCTTGGGCCAGGGTGAGATTCTCCAATTAAAGGCCCCCACGTCCGCTGAAATCAAGGATAAATACCCCGCGGATCGGCTGAGGGAGGACGGATCCAGGCTGTTGTACGGACCCAAGCAGCCCGCTTTGAGTTCGGGCGAGTGCCACTACGAACTAGACAAGATTGGCCAGCCGGATGTGGTGCATCCCGCCGAGTTTCTAGACGAGGGCTTCGTCTACGTGCACCGGATGTGCATCATGTGGTCGCTGCGCAAGAGCCAGATCAATGACGTGGACGCTGCGTACTTTGCCAGCCACTTTGCGGAGTTCCTGGAGCAGAAGTGCAACTTTTGCGGCCGATACGGGGCATCCATCAACTGCAAGATGAACTGCCGCCAGGTGCACCACTGGCCGTGTGCGGCCGCCGCGGGCTGCCTTCTTATCCTGGAGAGTTTCACGGTCTTTTGCACGGAGCATTTGAGCCAGGTGCCTGTGATATGTAAGTGTTTGAGCCTGTAAACTCCCTCAGAAAGTAATGACTTGATTTACAGGCAGCGACAATAATGTGGAGTGCCTGTCCTGCTCCTCGCTGGGAGATCTCTCCAAGCTGATAATGTGTAGTACCTGCGGTGACCACTTTCATTCAACCTGCATTGGCCTGGCCAATCTGCCAGGTAAGTCCGTCCAAGTACTCGGTTGTTGGTTACTTGTGTACATGTCATCTCCTCCACTAGACACCCGTTCTGGCTGGAACTGCGCGCGCTGCACCAAATGTCAGATTTGTAGGCAGCAGGACTCAAACGACACCAAGTACGTCAAGTGTGAGCAGTGCCAGAAGATCTACCATGCCTCCTGCTTGAGACCTGTTATCTCAGCCATTCCGAAGTACGGCTGGAAGTGCAATGTAAGCATGAAATAATTCAGAATTATCAGTTATTAGTAATCAATATCTTACTTGTTCCAGCGCTGTCGCGTCTGCACGGATTGCGGATCGAGAACTCCTGGCGGCGGCAGTTCTTCGCGCTGGCACAGCCACTACACAATCTGCGACTCGTGTTATCAGCAGCGCAACAAGGGGTTTTCCTGCCCGATATGCCAAAAGGCATATAGAGCAGCTTCCCACAAGGAAATGGTCAAGTGCAGCTGGTGCAACAAGTACGTTTTTCTCGCTTATTGCTAAAAGGTCTTGGGTTTCATATAATTCTCTATGGATTCCTTTTAGATTTGTGCACAGTACGTGTGACGAAGAGGCGGACTTAACGGCTTACCATAAGAAAAAGGAGCAGAACCCCGATTACGACTACGTGTGCCCGAACTGCAAGAGTAATTCATCGGGTCCGGGGCCATCCCAACAGGCAATCGATTCGATTGTGTTGTCCGCCATGGACTCGTCATCAGAGCAAATGAGCCTTAAGGAAATCGAACTGGACCCGCTGGAAGGTAAACCCTTAATGGATCCTTCCAGCGATGAACTCCACAAGCTGCCCACCGGCAAGAAAAAAGTGTGCCTTTCGAGTGTTCGCGGAAGAAGCGGAAAATTTGTTATGCACCGCATGGGTGTCATGTCGCAGATCAACAAGAAGCGCAGCACGCGGGGCAAGGGACGCCAGCTTGCTCTGCCCAGCATCTCAAGTGATCGCTGTCTGAGTCGCAACATGGAAGCCGATTTAACCAGCGATAAGAAGATGCTGCTATGCTCGGCGCGAGACAAGTTTATCCAAGCCCAAGATATCTGCGTGATGTGCGGCTCGCTGGGCATCGAGAGCGATTCGGTGATGATAACCTGCGCCCAGTGCGGCCAATGCTATCATCCGTACTGCGCTGGCGTGAAGCCTTCGAGGGGCATCCTGCAGAAGGGTTGGCGGTGCCTAGACTGCACGGTGTGCGAAGGATGTGGCAAGAAAAACGACGAGGCGCGCCTTCTACTGTGCGATGAGTGTGACATTTCATACCATATTTACTGTGTGAATCCTCCGCTGGAAACCGTGCCGACGGGCAACTGGAAGTGCTCCTTCTGCACGCTGTGTCAGAAATGCGGACGCAATCCCACCGAGAAGAGCGAGTTTGGGGACTCCAATATGTTAGAGTGCCCACCCTGCACCAGCCAATCGTTGTGCCCTGTGTGCAAAAACCCGTACAACAACGGCGAGATGATCATCCAATGCGAGCACTGTGACCTCTGGTCGCACTTCCTCTGTGACATTATCAACGCCCAGCTGACCATTGATTACTACGACAATAATGTGTACAAGTGCTTAAAGTGCCGCTGCTCTACGAGAAACTCGATGTCCCTGACGGATGCCAAAACTGGTAACGAGGATTCGTTGGCCATTGGTGCCCAGTCGAGCAAAGCGTTCGTGCACATCACAGCCAACTCCGGGCCGAGCTTCGATGCCAAGAGTGGCCCCGAGCGGAATCATCTAACCTTATCTAACGACATGCCCGAGGCTGCTCCAGAGGCCATCCATTGGATTGATGGCGTGTGCCTCAGCGAAAGCGGACTGGGCATGATCAAGTCCCTTTCTACGGAGATCAAACGAAAGCGCAAGATGCGACAGCCCATCGGCAATGGCAAGGATGGACAGGCGGATGGCGGCCCTGAGGAGGCGCTTGATAAGTACAAAGACGGAATGGTGTGGGACGGGACGGAGAACGCCATTCCCGAGGGTTTCACCATCTCCACCAACGACGAGGGAGTGCATATCTTACGTAAAAAGCGTCAGCGCAATCTGCAAAAACTGGGGATTGGTGGTTTTTCCGTTCGCAATCGAGGTCTGAAAAAGGAAAGCGAGGAGACGACTGCTGGTGATCAATTAAATTCCCTTATGACCATGGACAAAAAAAAGAAAATCATACGAAAAAAGCAAAAGAACAAGCTAATTGAAGCCTATCCCGTGTATCTGCAAGAAGCATTCTTCGGAAAACCTTTGCTGGAAGGCGGAGAGCTTGCTTTGCCGGAATCAGATTCTTCCGACGAAATCGATGCCTCCATGAAGGTGTACTTCACGCGGCCCGAAGGAAAGAGCCCAGCCAATCAGGAAACACAGGTGGTGAACAAGAGTCCAGCTAAGTCCCTCAAGAAGGTCAAAGCTGAGGTGAAAACTGAGAATAAAACGGTTTTCATCGAGCAAATGCCAATGGGAATCCAGCATAAAAACGCAATTACACCAGTTGCCAACGTTTTCGGTACTTCTTTAGTCTTTAATAAGCTTACTTCCAGACTTTATTAACCACGGAACTTTTTTTGCAGACCCGTTACATACGGAGATTTCGAATACTGTTTTTGGCAACAGGCATCCTTTAGATACTCTGGCTTCACCAAATATTCCGGAATTAGACACGCCGAACTCTGTAAATTCGGTTCCATCCGCTGAAATTATTGAAAAACCAATGCGGTAAGCCCCACGTCAAACTTCTAGACTTTCTCGAGTTAAAACTAATATGTACGCTGTTTATTATTTATAGGGAATCACCTGTGGTCTTAGTGGATAATTACATGGTACCTAACCAGTTGCCTCAGGATCAAAAGTTCAACAATCATCTTTATTTGCCGGGAAATATTGCCGTTAATCAGAATCAACAGCTTCATTTCCGCCAACAGGCGGATCATTTGAAGGTACAAAATGCCAACAAGCAGAATATGCAAGCTATGATTAGCCAAGTAGTTTTGCAAACCGAAAAGAGACCGGATGAGGAACAAAAGATTCCCGAACCCGTGGCAGAAAATCTGAACGCTGGCACTCAAAAGACAGCCGAGAAAATGCGAAAGGATGAAGGTACGAATGGTTTTAAATATATATGATTTAAAAGCTAATTTTGTATATCTTATTGCAGACCTTGGACTGATGGCCACCATTTCGGCTGTTTTGTATGCCAACACCGAGCATCCGAACCTAAAAGAGTTGTTCCCGAACTGGAATGATCGGTGCAAGCAGATTCTAAAGAGGTGGCGTTCGCTGTGCAATGAGAAAAAGGCTCCTTTCTTGCAAAAGGCTAAAGACAATCGTTCTGCATTACGGCAGAGGCGAGAGCAAAATAAAGTACCTATGCCACCAAAACCGCAAAAGCAGGAAGATATGGCAAGGGTGTGGAAACAACAGCCTAAGTTGAAGGAAGACCAGCCGAACATGTTTGTCACGTACAGTAAGTGCTGCAGTCAAAGGACTTTTGACCTTGTTTCAATTTATTTATTTATATATTTTTATTAATTATAGATGGAAATGCTTACGATATGGGAAACTATGTTGGTGGACAGCCGCAGGCGACGGCGAATAACCCCAACCCGCATCATGTGATGCCGAATGTTAACGATAACTTGGTAATTAAGGCTACGATGCAAAGGACTCAAGTGCATACATCAGCAACCACTACGCTGAAAATGACCCCTGTTGACAATCGGCTGGAATTGAACACGGTATATGGAGCGGAACCCATTGGAGATAAAAAGCTAAGAAACCTACTGCAAAAGAATAGCACGGAACCAATGCTCATGGGAGCCAATTCGGACTTGTTCCTAGCGAATGACGTTATGCGGCTTGGCATGATGCAAAATACCCCCATTACGCAGAACAATCCAATGTTGAGCATTAGTGGAAAGTCTCAGCCATCTGAAGGCAGGGCCTTGGAGCAGGATGTGAAGATGAACGAGCCGCAGGAGGCCGCATCTTCGGCCGTGGAGTTGGAGACCGTTGGATTTAGTGACCTGCTGGGAGGACTCGGCGAAGGCGACGACGATGATCTTCTCAAGTCGCTCACCTCCGAAATGGGAGACGACTTCAATATTCTGGAGTATGCGGACCCAGAACTAGATGTGAATGTTCTCAACTCTCTAGACTTTGATGACAATGAAAAGTGTTCTACATAGGAAAAAAGGAATCATTTAAATGAAAATAAAGACGAATGCAATATTTAATAATAAATTTAACTTTTGTGTACATTCTTTTGGCGCCAAAATCAATTCTTTATCGATAACCGAAAGTATCGATTTGAAGAAATCAACATTGATTTCCCATCGCGATTTATATGGAGTTTGTACTGTTATTACCTTTTCACTTTCTTTAAATAATCTAGATAAATATGCAATTGTTCAGTATTTTTTACTCATTCTTGACGTTATATTTCTTGCAACTTTTATTTTGTGGATCTTACTCTAAACTGAATCTTAAATCTGCAATCTTAAGGCAAAAGCAAGCACACAAATCACAAAATGACACTATTGGTATGCATTTAAAAGAAAGTTGTAATTCGATCACCTTATTTCGAAATTTCTTATTAAGCATATCAACAGAGAATCAAACATGACGCTCAAAAGACCATGCGAGTTATTTTCTATAAGAACAACAACAAAACTCTGGAAACGTCAGCCTATGACGATTTCTATGATCTTAAGAGGTCAGGTTGTTCAGCTTCCGACAAGTTTGCCATAGTTTTACATGGTTGGATTCAAAGTTGCTCTGACGAATGGGCATTAACACTAATTGACAGTAAGCATATGGTAATTTTCCTTAATGGAACCGCTTTAATTAAAATTTATCAATGTTCCAGGGCTAAGTTATTACCGTGGCGGGTGTGTAATATGTATTGACTACAGTGTGGTAGCTAGTTCCTCATATATGCGGTAAGTTAATGTTTAACATGGTGAACTAAAATTTAAATTCCAATTCCCCAACTTATAAAGGTTATACACAAACTTTGATACCCTAACTGGAGCCATTTCGTCCATTATCTTAACACTCTTTAAGCAGGGATTTGACCCAAAACGGGGCTATATGTTTGGTTTTAGCTTCGGCGGTCAACTAGCTTCAGCAGTAGGAAGATCTTTGTGGCCTAATCACATAATCGAAAGCATAGATAGTTAGTATATGAAATTATTTTCAAACTCAACTTAATCACTTCTAAATTTCAGCGTGTGACATGGCCGGACCCGGATTTGATCCCATTGCAGTGGACCATTCTAAGGCCGGCAAACATGTCCAGTGCTTTCATTCGAGTCGCGATAAGGGCACCTTGGTCTACTCCTGCCACCGAAACATTATGCTGGGCAGCTGTGGATTAAAGCAGCCTTCCGTGGCCAGTCAACTTCACTTGGGAAGTCATGGTCTCTGCGTCGATATATATATCAACACATTTGACTATCCCTTCTACGCCGTAAACGCAACCCCGGCGGAGTGCTTTACCTGGCAAAAAGCGGCCAAGATACCGGATGGCTACACAGTGGGTTACGAGGAAAACTTTGACAGCCAAGTCTCTGGTCAAATCTTTGTGCCAACTAGTCTGCATTACCCATACAACTTGTCCAAGAAGCAACTTAGGCTTTTGTCTAAAGATAGTGGCTGAAAAGGCCATTAACCTTCATACAATTATTAGAACATTAGGAAAGTTTAGTTTAGACCAAGAATAAATACCTCAACAGATTAAATTTTTAATCAAAGCCAACTGAATTAAAATATCGTGTGCGATTTATTAGAATTCAGCTCATATCGTTTGTAGTTAAGTTTTAATTCACCAAAAATATATTTCAAATCAAATTTGAATTAGGTATATACATTATATCGGTAAACCAGCCATTTATCAAGTTGCCTACTGATTCGGGCAGTCGTTGGGCGACTGTTTCTTGTTGCCGGCAGGCTTTGGGCCCTTTGCTGGCGGGGCATCATCGTCGTCATACTCATCCTCTTCGTTCTCGTCAAACTCCTCTTCATCTTCGTCGTCCTCATCATCGACAATGTCGCCAGTGTAGTAAAGCACAGCTTTTGGAATAATTCTGGCGCGCAAGAAGTGACCAATTTCGAAATCGGTGGCCAGTATCTGAAATACACAAGTTAGCAGAATGCCAGGAGGTGAGTACTGCAAGGGCGAGCTAACCTGCTGAGATTCGTCATCAATTTCTTCCTTGTCGGTTGGAACCTCTGGTGGGTTGAAGAAATTGAAGAAGGAATCCGTTGGGACCTGCTTGACAATGGTGCGCACAGCGCCACGCTCCTTGTGCTTCTGCTTCTTGCGGATGGTCTTCACAGTCAGGTTCATCTTCTTCTCCCAGTTGATGGTGCACCCCTATAATTGGTATTATTTCGATTAAGCAGCCATTGGAATTTGCTAGAAGAGTTGGCATACCGTGCACTTGTAAATCTCTGGGCCTTCGAATGCGAACGGATCGTCGGGATCCACGGTGGACTTCAGAACGTACTGTTTTGTAAGGACAGAGTTGGTGAAGTACTCGTTCTTGTCGAAATGGAACTCCAAGGTGTACGAGTGCTGAGGGACAAGATAAAGTAAATTAGCATGCAGAAAGGGTGGAGGATAGACTATAACTTACTCCATTATCGTACTTGATGGAAATATCGATCAGCTTGCGCATGGCTGGCTCGTCGTGGGGCTGCACCATCTCGGAGAGGATGGCCGTGTTGCGGAACACCGTCAGCCAGAAGCCGGGAATGCCCTTGGCGTCCTGGGGAATACTTTTCAAACTCTTAAGCGCTTCCCTGAAGTGCTCGGCATCGCCCTCGTTGTCGGTCAACGGCTCCGGCTCCTTCCACTTGGGCTTCTCCTCGGCGGGATCCACCTTGCCCTCGACGACCTCCTTGCGCTTGTCGAACAGCGGCTGGTATTGGACCTGGTACTTCTGCTCTAGCTTGTAGACCTCTTCGAAGAACTCGGCCTCGATTTTCAGGTGCTCCAGTTGCAGATTTTTCAGGAACACAATCCGATTCTGCACCGGAGCTGGCAGAGACTTGACCATTTCCTGCAGATACTGGCGCCGCAGAACCGAGTTCATGTAGGCCGGCCTATTTGGGTTTCGGATTGAGATTGGGATTGGGTTATTGGTTGTCCTTGTTTCGCTGCCAAAATGTCGTCACCACTCTACTCACATCGACTGGCAGTCGGAGCCAGACTTCTCGTCCTCGATTTCGTTGCAGGACTCGGTGTCCACGTTTCCTTCAGCTGGAGCGTCCATTGTTCAATAAATGCCGATTTCACTGAAAGATTAAAGACTCTCTTAGTTTTTCATTGTGCCTTTGATGTACATATTTACAAGTGATGTACAGACTGATGTACACATGCATATGTGCAGATTCTTATACAGAAAATTGCAACTGTGAAGGAATCCCAGACTGAGGCACATGCAAAACCAGAGCTACATATTTATTTGAGCATCTAAATATTATAGAACTAATATTACAATTCGCACACATCGAAGGGCGTTTTAAAAACTAATACGCCATTCGGTCGGCAGGCAAAAATGTGTGCGAATGTGTGAGTGTGCATGTGCGATTCAATCAAATTACCATACATTGCGTTCTTGGAAAACACGTGGTGAAGCAAATAACGCTCGTTTTAAGCGGAATTCAAGGGTGAATATCAACTTTGACTAAATGAAACGCTTGCTCTTTGTTGGGCAGTTATTTAGCAACCACTACTAACCGCTAATCACACAGAAATTCGCAACTTACCTTCAGTTGGAACAGACGCACGATGGGCACCGCAACGAAAATGTTTAAAAAGGAACGCTTCGGTTCGTGGGTGAGGAGTCCATTTTCTTTGGAAAGGGGCTATTTAACGCCAGCCGACGGCCACACTAACTTTCTTACCCGAGACACACCCCGCGGTTTCGATATATTTGGCTTTAATTAAACTTAACATTATAAATTATTAATGTACACAGATTACATAAGTGTACAATTTCCTTTACTTAAAAATTCACATATTTGTTTGATGAATTCCTTATTAATTGGAAAACTGAATTCTTTTTTTTTATCAAATTCAAATTTAATCTATTTAAAAATTTGTTTAACTTTAATATTTATATGATAGGATAGCTATAATTTATATATCAATTAAAAAATCGTCCTTGTTTTCTGCAAGAAAATAAATATTTAAGAGAGGAGAATGTTCCTTTCAGCCATGAAAACACCCATTTCGGGTACCATCTTTGGTGAGAGTTATCGATTTCGCTTTATTGGCTCTTATAACTTATATATTTAACAAATAAACTACTGGTTTTTACTTCTAATTTTAGGACCTTAAAATTCTAAAAAGTGTCAGATTAAGATCTTGGGTAGCGCAAATTAATTATTTTTCTTTGTATCGATACTATCGGTAAACCCAAAAAAAGAATTTAAGAAAGCTGTGTTTTAAAAATCGTACTTTCTCTATGTATTTAAATATAACTAAATACTTTTTATTGAAATACAATTATATTTAAAAGATCTGTAAATATTAAATCGTACAGCACCTGTGCGCGTCCGATCAAGGTGTTTCGAAATGTTTCCATAGGAACTATCGCATAAGCCCTTCAGCACTATGTAAATAAATAAATTCTCTACATTGCCTATTTTAAAGTGTTTTGCATATTATAAACCATGGCCTATGTTTATTCCACCAAAATATTTTACGAATTATTAAGTGTCAGCCCAAAAATAACAAAATTTTCCCAATATACGCTTGTAGCTGTGGACTTCTGGAAGATTAATCCTTAATACGAAATCTTAGATTCGAAAATATATTTTTTTTATGTGGCCAAAAAATGCATATTTATATACACATCCACATCAGCACACACTTAGCTATCAGACTCTTTTAGCTGCCTTATAAACTTTGCAAAGAAACAGTAATTTTCGGCGTTCACAAAAAGGCGAGAAGGAAATTATCATAAGATGGTATGGTATCATGGGTGCTAATTGCAATAAATATATCACTGGCGGACTTTTTTCCAAAATACAATCGGTATTCATGCGTCCCCTATGCGTTACATTTGATTTCAATTAGACTTTTCATTAATACAACAGTTTCCCCCAACTCGCGATTCCAAAGTATATACAGTGGAAAATCATTTTGTATTACTCATGCGCCTTTAATATGATAGTTTTATTTTATTCGTACAATTGAAAAGTTCACTAAACAATAAGCTGGAGAGGAGGCGCCTCAAATAAATAAATATATAAGCAGAAAGGACGTTAGTTAGCCTAAGTGGATCGACGGTGAAAAGCGAGTTCAAGGCGCTTGCTCAAGTAAATGAAATAAAAATTTCGCTGCGCGTAAACATTACATTTTCCCCGAGCCAAAAGCATTCCCGATTTCGTCTGTATGTATGGCTGATTGTTTAGTGCTGCACGATGTGATTTTACTATATCCACGGATCGAAATCGAACCCTTCGGCTAGATGGACGTTAGATAATACGCGCTTTTCCATCCAGTTTTTGGTTCTGGTTCTACGTGCGTCGCTCATCCTTAACTACATACAAATGCTATGTATGTAGATATGGATGTATCTGCATGCACTTCTTTGTGTTCCATGTAGACCTATATTTACGTTAATCTATGGAACGATTTCGTGTGTATGTGGGGTTCAGAGCGCCCCCAATCGATGAGAACAGATTTATGCACTTATCAATGAACTAGACCCCCACTTTGGCCATCTGTTTTGCTCGTTTTCGGGCCGAAATCGGGATGAGAACCGATCTTGATAAGGCTGAGCATATAATACATACATTCCGATGGAGAAAGTGTATCTATATGGATTGATAGCGGGAAATATTTCCAACTTACCCCCAAATTCGCTGCTAGTACATGACTATATTGTTGTTTATTTATCAGTCTAGGCTAAAATTACAGTGGCGGTGAATAATCCTCGCACGGTCGAAAAACCGCCGGAATGTCCGTGGTACTTGTTGTTCAGAAATTTACAGAGCTGTTATATAACAGTTAAAATTCGAAATCATATCTTGGGTAGTAACAAAGTCATATCTTATATAACAAAACCCGTGACATAACACCCCAGAACCGTACTAAATAGCTGTTATCTTATGTTCACAATGAAGAGTGTAAACCGATTAGCGCAAAAAGATCGAAAACAACTTTTTATCTGACCTAAAAAGTGAAGCATAAATCGAAGGTGCAATTTTTCTTTTTGTTTAGTCATCTACTAATTTCAATAGTCATGTGATAGTAACTAATATTATGCAAATAATGTGATGCATACTTTCGATCACGGGTTATTTACTTCTTTGAGGTGTGGCAGGAATAAAAAAAGTATAGTCTTAATAGTTTATTGGCTTTCGGGTTTATTGGAATTCGGAACCGACCAAAATGGAATTATTATCGGCGGAAAGTAAACTACCTTACTTAAAAGTTTATCGGTTACTGGGCTTATGTGAATCCGGAACCAACGCAGGTCGACTTATGATCGTCGGGAATGCTTTTGATCTTTGATTTTTAGTTTCCTGATAAGGTTTTAATGATATGAACTGATTTTGATTTCAGAGTGCCTTACATCCAGAAATATGCCAGATAGATTTCAAGTTACAAAAGCAGACGAAGACACCGCGTTGGACTATAATCAAGATGAATCTGCGAGTGGAAAACTTCTCGGAGACATCCACGACGAAACCCTAGGTGAGAACTATGGGACCTATGCTGGTAAGGATGTTTATTTTTTATTTTTATAATTTTAAAGGGAATACTTATATAGGAGGTAATTTCTAAGATATATTAAGATATTATCTGGTTGTCTTTATTTTGGGTGGATATTTATTTAGAAAGTTAAGAACTTGGAATACATTGGAATCAATATAATTGTAATATATTATATGACTTCGAAGAGGTGAAAGGCAGTTCGATCGGTTTACTTGTATAAACCGCTTTGTATTTCGGTAATCTATCTTTGTACGGTTTCAATTCCTTTCCCCCGAGTGGCTACTGTAAACCCAGATAGAGCTTACGGGCCTGCAATCCTATATCCTGCGCTGCCCCAGTTGCCCGAGTCCAGGATGTCCTGCTGACACATTTCGTCGCAGCTGTAAGCCAAAGCTCGTTGTACCTGTGGAAAGCTTTCGGAAAGAGAGCCGCCCAGGCGGCGCAGCTTTTCCCTTGGATTTTCGTGTTCCCTTCCAGCGGATGCTGGGCGAGAGTGGCTGAATGGGTGGTGGGCTGCTGGGATGCTGGTCCTGGCCTGGCCAAGTCCCGCCAGCCCAGCGGGCTGTAGGCCAAGAAATGTACACCTGCAATGGCGCTCTCCACTCTTTTCAGCATCGCTCTCGCTCTCGAAGAAGAGTGTGTGTGTATTAAAAATGTGTGTAGACAAAAGCTTTCGATTTCATCTCAATTGAACGCTCAGGGTCCTGGGCAACATAATTTTTATTCGGCCGAATACCAACAGTTTTCTTAGTTTTTCTATTAATCCGAACGAAAAGTAGCATACATCTGAGCGTTTTCGCTCGCTTAAAACCTAAATAATTTTAGAAAGAATCTTCTTTCAAATAATACAACAAAAAAATATAAAAAAACATGAAAAACCAGTTCTTTTTGAGCACCTTTAACAAATAACATACTTTTAACAATCGACGAAATTCTAACAATAATCAAATACATGAATAAAAGTGCGTTCAATTACAAAGTGTGTGCCCTTTCAGTAGACCACAAATCTGGGGACTCGAGCTCTCGAGTTCGAGAATTTCCACTTCCCCTGCATTCCCATATAAAAGCGCCAAGAGCTATTCATTTCGTAACAATTTTCAGAGCAGCATTCGTTTTCTATGCATTTTGTCAGCTCGAGAGCCGCCTTACAGTGAAAAATAAAGACTTAACGGCATTTATTTACCGCCCCACGATGACGGCCTGAAAATCCTTGACCTAAATTAATCGGTTACATATTTTTTTTTTGTCTGAGCTGGCACAATTTTCGTAGCTGCGAATGCACAGCATCCCTCTTTCCGCCTTTGAATTTTAAATCCGCACTCACCTCCGAAGTCCTGGGGCATTTCCCGATTAAGAAGTCCTTTCCGAAAACCCAAATCTCGAGTATATAAGCACACACGTCCTTAGACATGTGAATATACACCGAATCGGCCACGCCTTTCGGTTATATAATGCCGACGCGTAGAGCTCCTCCTTAAAAAAACCCAGCCATGCCCATTAAATTCTCGTCCACAATCTAGTGTTACCTAATTTTAAGTGAAAAAAGTGCAATCTAGAGCAAGGGTTTGAAGCCAAACATAACGTTAACATGCAAAGTAACAGTGCAAAAGATGATTCGGATGAAATGGAAATAATACCATCCGAACACAATGGTACAGTTCACGACAACAAAAATGAAGGTATGCCCGGGATCAGCGAGTAGTTTCTTTTATTTATAGTTATATAGATTTATATAAGTTAGCATGTAGATTACATAATATGGGATTCTACAACTTTAGCATATCTTATGTGTTCCTTTCAGACTCAGGTGATATCCACAGGGCTGAAGAAAACCAGAAGTCCAATATCGACCCAAATCTATATCTGTACGATGATGATTTGGAGACCAGGCCCCATATATCAACATTCATTTCATCAATTGCCAATTATGAAAACACGATACCAGCGGCCACCGATCCCGATGCAAAGCCGGCAGCTCCATCGGCTCGAATGGGTATGTTCGCCGCGAATTAATTAACTTACTTGTTTCTTGTTTCTCATATTGAAAGGCACATGAATCAGACAATGGAAATGCAATGTTCGCAGCCCGACAAAGCTGCGAAAGAATGATTACTTTAATCCCATTTAAAGTGTTTTAACCTTCACTGTGCAACAATATAGAAGAGCACTTGTAAAGGTGTCTAAAAGTAGGCAACAAAACATTATGAGTCTGAAAGTACAATGGATTTATTGCCTACTTTTAGACTCTTTTATTATTAACTCACTAAGGAAATCATTCTACCATACATAAGCTAGTATGTTTAACTAACTGTGGTATTAAATGTTCTAACTTTAAGGTACCCTAATTGGAGTGTTCTTGCCATGCATTCAAAACATCTTTGGTGTCATATTGTTCATTCGGTTAACATGGGTTGTTGGAACGGCTGGCGCCGTGTGTGGATTCTTAATTGTTCTGACCTGCTGCTGTGTGGTAAGAGCACCTTGGAGTTACACCATCCAATTTGGCCACACTTCCATCCCTATTCCAGACAATGCTTACTGCGATCTCGATGTCGGCCATTGCAACGAATGGAGTGGTTCCGGCGGGAGGGAGTTACTTTATGATATCACGGTAATTACAACGATATATTTAGAGATGTTCAGTTTAATAGTACCATCAAACACAGATCCCTGGGCCCTGAATTCGGTGGAGCGGTGGGAATGCTGTTCTATACGGGAACCACTTTAGCGGCGGCGATGTACATCGTTGGTGCCGTGGAAATCGTATTGGTGAGTTAAAAACTCCCATTTAAACTGAAAAAGTTCCATTACTTAATTATTCATTGCCTGCAGACATACATGGCGCCGTGGGCATCAATATTTGGGGACTTCACCAAGGATGCAGACGCGATGTTTAACAATTTCAGGGTCTACGGCACTTTGCTGCTCATTTTTATGGGTAAGTTAATCTTAAGGCCCAGTAGTAAGGAGTAAACTTTAATGTCCCGCCGTTAAATCAAGGACTCATTGTGTTCGTGGGCGTGAAATTCGTCAATAAGTTCGCGACGTTGGCCCTGGCCTGTGTCATTCTGTCGATAATAGCGGTGTATGTGGGAATATTTGACAATATCCATGGCAACGAAAAGCTATAGTAAGTGCCCTAATGCCCCCAGTATTGCCTTTGAATGGCCACTTAAGCTTCGTTTGATTGCAGCATGTGTGTTCTGGGTAAACGACTCTTGAAGGATATCCCACTTGAAAATTGCACAAAGGAAGACTCCTTCATGCGCGACATATACTGCCCAGATGGTAAATGCGAGGAATACTTCCTAGGTAAGCCCTATCGAAAGTGCTCTCTGTACCCAAACTACAAAGCTTTCCCCTGGGTCAACAGCTAACAACGTGACCAAAGTCAAGGGAATCAAGGGATTGGCTAGTGGAGTTTTCTACGACAACATTTGGCCCTCGTTTTTGGAGAACGGCCAGTTCATATCCTATGGAAAGAATGCTGTTGACATCGAGAACACCAGTGGCCAGTCTTACAATCAAATCATGGCCGATATTACCACCTCGTTCACCCTCCTTATCGGCATCTTCTTCCCATCGGTCACAGGTTGGTACTATCTTGCATATAGAAATCTCAAGTTATATAACACTTTTTATGAACAGGCATTATGGCTGGATCCAACCGATCGGGTGACCTGGCTGATGCCCAGAAAAGCATACCCATCGGAACGATATGTGCCATTCTGACCACCAGCACAGTTTACTTATCCAGCGTTATGTTCTTCGCTGGCACAGTGGATAACCTCCTGCTGAGGGATAAGTGAGTAGTATTGAACAATTGACTATGGGCTATCTAAAACCCCCGACTATTTCAGATTCGGTCAGTCCATCGGTGGCAAATTGGTCGTGGCCAACATCGCCTGGCCTAACCAGTGGGTCATTTTGATTGGCTCTTTCTTGTCCACCTTGGGAGCTGGTCTGCAAAGTTTAACCGGTGCCCCCCGCCTGCTGCAGGCGATTGCCAGGGATGAGATTATTCCCTTCCTGGCTCCCTTTGCCAAGTCCTCCAGTCGTGGCGAACCCACCCGGGCACTGCTCCTAACCATCGTCATTTGCCAGTGCGGCATTCTCTTGGGTAAGCCAGGGAGCTCACTATTTTTATTGCGATTAGATATAACCATAACCTCTATGATCACAGGAAATGTGGACTTGCTGGCACCGCTGCTGTCCATGTTCTTCCTCATGTGCTACGGCTTTGTTAACCTGGCTTGCGCCGTGCAAACCCTGCTGAGGACTCCCAACTGGAGACCCCGCTTCAAGTTCTACCACTGGAGCTTGTCGCTGATCGGCCTGACGCTGTGCATATCAGTCATGATCATGACCTCCTGGTACTTCGCACTGATTGCCATGGGAATGGCCATCATCATCTACAAATATATAGAGTACCGAGGGTAAGTGATTCACAGATAAATGAATATAGCCGAAAGAACAAGTAATCCTCCGCATTGCAGTGCCGAGAAGGAGTGGGGTGATGGCATTCGTGGAATGGCCCTTACCGCCGCCAGGTACTCGCTCCTCCGCCTGGAGGAAGGCCCACCGCATACGAAAAATTGGCGTCCCCAAATTTTGGTGCTTTCGAAGCTCAACGATAACCTCTTGCCAAAGTATAGGAAGATATTCTCCTTTGCCACCCAGCTGAAAGCTGGCAAGGGATTGACGATTTGTGTGTCTGTGATAAAGGGCGACCACACCAAGATAACCAACAAAGCCGTGGATGCCAAGTCCACGCTGCGCAAGTACATGACCGACGAGAAGGTGAAGGGATTCTGCGATGTTCTGGTGTCCCAGCAGATCGGCGAGGGACTCAGTTCGGTGTAAGTATAATAACTAAGCGTAAAAACTAAAGAAGAAATAACTAAACTCTGATCACAGTATTCAAACCATCGGACTGGGAGGCATGAAGCCCAACACTGTCATCATCGGATGGCCTTACAGCTGGCGGCAGGAGGGCAGGAATAGCTGGAAGACCTTCATCCAAACGGTCCGCACAGTGGCCGCCTGCCACATGGCTCTCATGGTGCCCAAGGGCATCAACTTTTACCCAGAATCAAACCACAAAGTAGTATTTACCGCTCCGAGACCTTAGTCTTCGTGGTGTAACCTTCCTAACCTCTTTCAGATCGGTGGCAACATTGATATCTGGTGGATTGTCCACGACGGTGGTCTGCTCATGTTGCTGCCCTTCCTGCTGAAGCAACACCGCACTTGGCGCAATTGCAAGCTAAGGATCTTCACAGTTGCTCAAATCGAGGACAACTCGATTCAAATGAAGAAGGATCTAAAGACATTCCTGTACCATCTCCGAATCGAGGCAGATGTCGAAGTTGTTGAGATGGTATGATCATGAGATCTTTTGGCAAAACTGAAATACCCTTATCCTTATATCTTTATTATTGCATCCTGCAGAACAACAGCGATATTTCCGCTTACACCTACGAGCGGACTTTGATGATGGAACAGCGTAATCAGATGCTGAGAGCATTAGGTTTAAATAAGAAAGAAAACTCCAAAGTGGTAAGTGGTCAATATTTGAGCAGACTCTCATTCACACCATATATACTTCTTCGAACTGAAGATGGTCCATAAATTCAACTCATTCTTGTTTTGTTTATACGGCCATAATGCACATTTAGTCTTTCATTTACTTTAATCTTTATTAGCATAGTTCTTATATTCGTTCGTTTTGAAGGTTGCGTATTTTGATTTGAGTAATTGTTGAGAGGAAACCATCTTGCCCTTTGTTTCTCATGTATCTCCAATTTCCATATCATATTACTATCTGAGATCCAAATTAAAATTTTACACTTTATATATTTAAAAATCAAAAGGTTCAGACTATAATGGACTTTAAGGAAACACCCAGTGATAATAAATTGTCTTTGGTAAAGAGTATAAACAGAATGACTATATCGATATATCAAGATACAAACTTTTCATTGCCCGAACCTTGTATGAAACCTGATTGTATGTGTCTCATCAGTACATTTTTCGGCAGGAGCAAGTGGCTCCCTTCATCTTCATACATATCATAAACCTCTATGTGTTGTGTCAATGTGATGTTGCTAATGCTCACCCTCCTATCTATTATAACTCTATCAAATTGTAACTTATTCTCAACACCCTCTATTGGACTTGCTTTATAAGTAGCCGGTATCAGCAGAGTGTCAGGGTCTTCTAAATGGACAAAAAAATCTTCCTATCCGAAACTTAATATAGTTGTTTTAAAGAAAATTTGCATTTTTCAAGAAGTGTTTATTGCTATAAGTATCAAGTTTGGTGTAGTTTTTTAATTTAAAAGCTTTTTCAATAATAAGACACTTGCTTATAGAATATTAATTGCACAATCTTGGAGCTTCGCTTTAACGTATCTATATATAAATTGAAATGGTGTCAGAAATGTACGGAAATACATCAATTGTTTGTTATTGCCAGAAGAAGGTTTTATAAAAGAAACTTGGGAAAACCCTTTAGAAATTTAGAACTTTGTTTGCGCGTTCGCTAGTAGATAAATAATATCCTGAAACTTAGTGCCGGGCAATCCAGTCAAATATAGTTTAGCTGCTTTGCAGTTTGCATCCCGAGAATAGTTAATCCCTTCTCTGATATTGGCCTCTCTACTCTTCTGCAACCTATTTTCTCATACTCCTCATGGTAACATTTTCAGGTTCAAACAATTGTAGACCACCATTATGACGCCACCAAAACGGCGTCTAAAGTTCGCTTCGCCGATCCAACTATAGAAGAAATACAACATCACGTATGTACTGCTTATTGATTTTGATTTACCATTGTCTCTAATCTTTCGATAATACACATAAGAACATATATAAAGTTAAGTGAGATCAACGAGCTCATCAAATGTAAGCCCGAAACATTTTAATTTTAAACCATAATTCCATAGTAGTACATAAAATCGATTTTTAAGTTGACTTGAGCTATAAATTTATTGATATTTTGGCTTTTTACCATTGTTGATTTTACATGACTTTTGAGTTTTTGAAATCAACGGCACTTGTCATTCCAACCCGAGGATGTGAGGTGTTTTAGACATCTGATAACCTTTTTTGATTGTAATTACGCAGGATTCTCAGAACGACGAGAAACGTAACTCAATTGATTTGGATGGTCCCGAAAATGCGGACACACCCGAAACTACTTCTAACAAGGATGAATCGACAGAGAAAGCCGACGGAGACTTTAAGTCCAGTGTGAAACCGTACGGGATAATGTTGTTTGCATACTATATAGTCCTCTAAAAATTTTTATTTTCCCACAGGGATGAGTTCAATGTTCGTCGCATGCACACAGCAATAAAACTAAATGAAGTTATTGTAGAAAAGTCACAGGATGCCCAGTTGGTCATAATGAATTTACCTGGACCACCTAGGGAAGTGAGAGCGGAGCGTGAAAGCAATTGTAAGATCCAAAAACAAAAGATACAAGATACGTCACCTTAACGTGCTTTCCCCATTTTCAGATATGGAATTTCTGGAGGTATTAACAGAGGGCCTTGAAAAAGTGTTAATGGTTCGTGGAGGAGGCCGAGAAGTTATAACAATTTACTCTTAAGAGCATTAATCGCTCAGTTTTATAAGAGTTCGCAACACTAGACAAGTTTAAGAATCAATCAAATTTTTAAAAGAAGGTTATTAATTTGTTATATTCAATCATATGTCCAAATATTTTATTTTTACGTAAATAAAATATCAAAAAATTGTAACAATAAGAAAGACGGTCGTTTCATTTGGTCGGGTTCAATTTCAGGTAAATACAACATAGTTGTTGTGGTAACACCGCTTGGAGACGGGTAAACAATGTATCTACCTAACTCTCTACAAGGTAAAATCAACGTCTGTAAAATTAGACACATCTGGTAGATTGACCAACACTGGAGTTCGGTCTTTTCTCCCAACTTTTGTTATTTCAACCGTAGCGAGTTGTACGTTTTATTACCTTCGATGGCTTAGAGATTTCGGGGGCAAAATATACACGATCGAAATTCCTGAAAATACTCGAAATACGTTTCAAATACTCGGAAGATCTTCAGTAAATACTCCATTAATGAATTCGGAATCGAAAGACCTGGATTTGAGAAAGGTTTGAGCGGCGATGTCGTGTTACAGGTTCTTCTGTTTATTTTTAACACGCAAGCAACTTTTTGGTATCCAGCAAACAAAAGAGCCTAAACATATGCATTTGGGTTGATCGGAATACCATCTTTATTGACCATTTTCTCTGCCACAGGGCGATGTAGAAAGACCGCACTTCGAGGCAGTTACCACATTGTCGGACTCCCAGGCGATCCGGAGCGTTGACTTTCATCCGAATGGAAAGTTGTACGCGGTGGGCTCCAACTCCAAGACCTTTCGCATCTGCCAATACCCCCAACTGTCCAAGCTAAGGTAATTAAAATATGAGGGCCTCGCTGACAGTTTAATTGGTTTCCCCCAAATTATGTGAAGGCATGGCCAGCAGACGACGGTGTATCCGCCATCTGTACTCTGCAAGCGGACGAAACACCATCGCGGATCCATATACTGCACCTGCTGGTCACGGGATGGGGAGCTCATTGCCACCGGATCGAATGACAAGACCATCAAGTACATGAGGTTCAACAACGACACCAATCAGTTGGTGGGTCACGAGATGGAGCTGAACATGCACGACGGCACGGTGCGGGACATGTGCTTCCTGGACGACTCGTCCACCAAGTCCAGACTTTTGGCCAGTGGCGGGGCAGGGGATTGCAAGATCTATATCACAGACTGCGGATCTGGCACTCCTTTTCAGGCCTATAGTGGTCATACCGGACACATTCTGTCCCTCTACAGCTGGAACAATGCGATGTTTGTGTCGGGATCTCAGGTGGGTCTTGAAGCGGATCCCTATGTTACATGGCTACTACCAAGGATTATGATATTTTGCAGGACCAAACGATACGTTTCTGGGATCTGCGAGTAAACGTCTCTGTAAACACCTTGGATAACGAGCGGAAAGACGGTGGCCTGGAGAACTCGGCTGTAACCGCGGTTTGCGTGGATCCCACGGGCAGACTTTTGATTTCTGGACATGCTGATAGCTCTTGTATTCTGTACGACATCCGTGGCAATCGACCCATACAGCGTTTCTATCCCCACACCGCCGAAATAAGGTAGTGCTGATGATGAAACCATCTTTTTCATAGTATAACCCAGGTTTTTTCAAGGTGCGTCCGCTTCTCCCCATCCGCCTACTATATGCTGACTTGCAGCTACGACAATTCCATCCGCCTTACGGATCTGCAGGGCGACCTGGCCCACGAACTATCCTCCGTAGTGGTGGCGGAGCACAAGGACAAGGCCATCACCATCCGATGGCATCCAACCGAATTCTCCTTCATCTCCACGTCAGCGGATAAGACGGCCACCTTATGGGCCTTACCGCCTTCGTAAGGGCTACATCAGTGTTCTTGTAACGGCTTTAACTTCGTTGTCAATATTGTATTTCTGCAGAATAGTCCAGACTGATCTAATTTATTAAATAAACCGCATTCCAAGAAAGTACCGGTCTTTCAAATGTAACAGGGCTGCAACAAGTACCCCCGACCAATAAAAACACTTCATTCTAATTTATATATTTGGTATATATTTATTTAAATCCGTTCTTACTAACCCACAGTTCCATTAATGTTTTACTTTCTAAAGCAAATAAATTGATTTATGTTGGATTTAATGTTGCAGTTGCAAGTAACAGGGCTGGCTTAGCGATTAATACACGAATGATAAAGGCAGAAAAATTTGTCCTCCTTCACATTCACTTTCACATTCGTATCGGTTTTGGTGGTCCAAACCTTTACATCCTGTCGACGACGACGTCAGGAACTACAATATTTTTTTTGGGACGAATAACGGTGGCAATTATTACCATGGGTTCTTGATCGAGGGGATAACCAACGCAAGAGCAAACCAAAACTCATGGGTGATGGAGGGTTTTTGGAACTCGGGACCAGTTAAGCGGCATCTTCCGAAATTCTGGTATTTGGCAGTTTCGGTGGGTTCATACTTACAGCCTAGTGGGTTGGATTATTGGGGTAAAACTACAGTATTTATACTGGGATGGGGGAAAAGTACACAGGGCAGCTTCGGATTTCTTGTTTTATTATTTCGATTTTACGTTTAGATATCTTACATGCTGAATTTCAAATCTGTGTGTTTCTCGTTTATGTCGTCGAGTGCGATAATGTAATAGACCATAATGTACAGCAATTGTTCTTTTCTACATTCACATCAATTTGGCGCACTCGGACATAATATAATAACTGCACGTACTTTTCTAAAGCAGGGATGGATTCAATTTGTGTTATGGTAACTAATCGGGGTCCAGTTAATGAAATCTGGGGTTGACTGTATAAAATAAAACAATAGTTCATTGAGAGATGGTGGAATTGGTTGGAATAGGTGGGGGTATCAAGTCGTCGGGGGGATTCTGAAGAATTCTTTTGCACCAACGATTCACGTGCATCGTGCAAGCAAACGGAGTTAAAACTAGGTATACAACTTGCAGCAGCGAACATAAGCTTTTTGGGGGAGATCTGTTCTGGATCCCAGTCGTCGGGTTTCGTAGAGCCAGCACGTTTTAGTTCTGCATAATTTATTTCTTTAATGTTAGGTGTAGGTAATTTTTGTTTAATCAATTCACAGCGTCTCTAATTGTATAACAGAGTAAATTATGTATAATGTTAATTTAAATAGGTATTCTATAAAAATGCTAGAAGGATTACTTAATTCCTTACAACTGAGGCTGACATAAATTACACAATTTGCTTTCAATAAATCCCTCAAACATTTTCAATACGGTGGCTGCACCGCGCCAACTTCTTTCAGATAGATGCGATGTCTTACGCATTATGTACGATCGCCAAAGACCCTGTTCCTAATCATTTGCTCATATATGTACATACAATACAATACAATTGGAAACGGACACCGACGCGATGTTGTCGCGCCCAGATTTTGGGAGTTAACTGTGTACCGAGTCATTATCTACTTAATATCTTGTGCTCAAAATAATTCTTACAATTATGGAATGAATGAACCAATATTTTTATTCGGTGCGAATGGGGTATATAAATATAAGCAATTCAATTACGTTTGGCAAACCAAGTTAAGATACTCCTCTTAACAAAATTAGGACGCTCGGTTGGAATCTTTTTAAACATCAACATACAATCAGATTCGGTTCTGAAAAGTTTTTGGTTCTACTTAAACGGATTAAACAAAAATTGTTCATGAACGTTCATCAGTTATAATGGTTTGTTCTCTTGCATGATTAAGCCTACACTTTAGTATTTCAGTTACTAAACACAGAGAAGAAAAAGTGAAGTTAAATAAGTTTGGTTTAATACAAACAGCCATCTCATTTCCAGAGACTTGAAATTTCCTACAAGTTTCTTTTTGGTAACCCAGTGAAAATTATATGACGACAACTAACTAATGTAATTGAATATACCGGTGTGGAACTCTCTTATGTATATATAGCATTGTATGTACAAAAAGCAATCCTGCTAAATTTAATAATATACAAACACAAATATATATTTAGGGTATACGCGTGTTAGATAAATCGTTAGCTCATAGAAAATATTGATCTTTTAACGCTGTTTGTTCAAAGCCAAAAGCCAGGGAGCGAGTCAGTCGGCCCATCTTTTGGTGTCACCAGTCAATTCTGTGACACCGGGGTGTGGAAATCAGTATCAGTAGTATTTGGGAACAAACTTCATGTGGGTTAAAGTCGTTACGTTAGATGTATATAATTGTGGGTTCTTGTTTCTTGTTTCTGTTTATATTTAGTAACATTTTATACTAGAAATTAGAATAATGAAGTTGGGCTTATGGATTATAATTATATTCTTAAAGCATCATAGCGTACAGCAGGCCAAAGAAGACAGCCCACATTAACACAATCCCATGCATCTTATATATAGGACTCTCACCATCTGCGATTTTTCTAGCAACAAACTTCAATGTCTCATCTAATAAAACTACAGGAATTGAGAATTTCATCACAGTTATCCATTCCTCTGCAGACAACGGTGTCACTTGGAAGACGGTCTGTGGGGGGATAATCGGGTTAGCTTTCTGCTTAGACAGGCACAAGTGCTTATCATCGCCTGGTACTTACGGAGAGGACATCGACGTAAAGAATAACAAAGTGAAGAGTGAAGGAGAGTGCCATTGATCCAATCAGCCACAGGTTGCACCATGGAGGCATGGTAATCAGGGACTGATTCTCAGACAAGCTAAACAAACAAAGGGAGTTCGGTTCGTATCTGATGTGTCTATCATTCGTTATCTGACGACGACTCACCTGTTCATTGCGTTCAACATTTCGATTGTCACCAGCACGGACAGAGCCATGGTCATCGCATGGGGGTCGCTGAAGATCTTGCAGTCAACGCCCTTGAACTCGTCACCACCGCCCAAGCAGGCCAGATGGTGAGTCAGCTGCCAGTAGGTCAGTTTGGGTCCCTCGTCGGAGAACACGAACCACCAGGCGGCGGCACCGACGGTAGCAGCGCCGACGTAGAAGCCAATAGCCATGTAACTAAATTAAATTACAGTCAAGTTAGAACCGTTTTAAGAATCTCTGCTTTCTTGTAAACCAACCGGAAGAACAACCATCCGGAAATGAGACCCTCATCGGCCTTCCTGGGGGGCTTCTCCATGATATCCAGATCAGGGGGGTTGAAGCC